ACAAACTGTATTCTACAGCCAAAGAGTTCCATTTTGAAATGTTGTAATTACTTTTTAAATATTGTTTATGTAAGTGGTCAGTTCCGGTAACTTATAGTGCGCCCTATGTATAGCTCATATAGCTGGTGAATGTGGATCATAGTATATTTACGCTATACATATACTAATTTAAAGTATAGTGTGTAAATTGAGTGTGTATGTTTCGTGTCATATGGCAATTTTCCTTTCTTGTAATTACTTTTTAAATATTGTTTATGTAAGTGGCCAGTTCCGGAAAGTTATAGTGCGCCCTATGTATATGTATATATATATAGTTGGTAATTATTATTACAATTTTTGTAAGCACAATTGCAAAAAAATATCGCTAAGAGAATCGTTGAATCACACAAGTGCTAGTATTGATGAAAGATTCCGTATATAAAAACAGTTCGAAACAATTAGTTTTATACAGTAAATGGGGATATGGTTGCCCATCTGGCTAAAGTGAACATAAATAAACACTTCCACCAAACGTTTGTAGCAGTAGTGCTCTTTGTGAAAGAGTTCGTCCAAAAAATACCGTACCTATTTCTGGTGCCAAGCAGTAATGTGAGCATTAGATACTGCGTCCCGGTTTTGAAGGGCAAGGTTGCTGGTGACATTGCAAGCACTCGAGACTTGTAAACTTGTCTCAGGGTTACAGGATCAGTGGCAGTGTCCCAGTGTGTTTTTTTAACACCAAAATATATAACCTGCCGATTTTACGCCGATCACGCCAGTTGAAAGACCATCAAACGCTGCCGCAGATGATTTTATGAGCGAGGTAAATCTCTGGTACAAACACGCCTAAAATATTTCAAAAAAAACTTACTGCTCCAACTATTCCACTTTATCACAAGTCAATGTTACAAGAAACTGAGATTGCTCTGAGTTTTCCTTGAGGGGCGTAAATGGGCGAGATTCGCTGACCAATGGCCGTGGAGCCGGAGGGTTGAACTCTCCGATGAAACTGATAACTGACAATCTTACCCATTCCTTCACGCTTAAAACAGGAGAATAAAAACTAATTGTTACTTGAAATCAGTGGATGCTTATCTCTACACAAACGAATAGTCTTTAATATCTAAAAGGCGTTGAAAAATTGTTCTTACACAGAAAATTAGATTTTTCCCGGCACCTTTATCTGGATAGCCGAAGCAACCTCAACGAAGTAGTAAAACGCGATTCCAATTTTGTTAAATGAACACCAAAACAGTAAAATTTTACGTTTAGAAGTCTTAACTAAAGAACGAGTTACGTAGGAACACCTCAGTCCCAGGGTAATTCATTTTCGAGTTGGCTCATTAATTAATTGAGCGTCTACCACGATGGGCCGCGTGCTTTTTACGACTACTATAAACTCTTCTCGCATAAAAGTACCTAATTTTACAAGAGCTCTGAAATCTCATCCTTTTGGTTTCCCTTCATTCAATAAATGGACTTCAAAACAGAAATATCAGAGCTCCTTTTAATATTGCTGATGCTACTAGCATTGCGGTGGCGTCTTTGTTTAACAGTTTAATGCAGTTAATGTATCGGACAAAGTAATTACGTAATCTACATAGAATTAATAGGTAATAATTTCACAATTTGAACCGTGAATAAGAATGCAGAAGAGAAAGGATTAAAAGCGTCAAAATTATATATACTCTGCGTCGTTCTTATAAAAAGTAAGTATTTTAATCAGTACCTATATCCATAACATTTTTTCTAAAGTAATTTGGTTATTTGAAGTCGTGTACTTCCAGCTAGGGGCTTTAAAATTTTCTTTTAACAACTGATAGCGCACAATTTACTTTTGAACATACTTTGTTTTACACAAACAAAATGTTAGTAGCAGTAGAGATACGTGTGAAAGAGTTTGGCCAGGGAAGTACTGCCACCTTACCTATTTGGTACGAGCAGTGTTATGAGCATTATGGTCTTCCGGTTTTGAAGGGTAAGGGTGCTGGTGAAATTGCAGGCACATGGGACTTGTCAACTTATGTCACAGAGTAAAGGGCGCAGTGGCGGTGCTCCTCAGATCTTTGCGATTTAAGGCTCTGAGTGGCATTGCAACTGTTATGAACAGGCGGATTTTTTCCCACCAAACCCACGACTTGATCGTTGCATCTCTTGGTATCAGTAAAATAAATATGGAGGGCATTAATAACTTAATAATAATAACTTATAAATTAAACGGTAGACGACGACTAGTTCCTAATCACGTTTCAGTATAATGTGACTCCTTTAGACAATTAAACAGCGCGTAGTCAAATTTATTTTACGCTCAAGACTCCCTTCCAAGAAGCTTTCCGACGACAGCAAAATCAGTTTTACGATGTTTGTGTATTGACAATTAGTCATTATATTGGAGACTTACGCAAAAAGCGAAAGTACACAATATTGAGGCATTATGATAATTTTTGAATTTTGAAATTGAATTTACAAAATGTTCTCTATTTAACTGTACTGACAGATAATAATAGTACTTTATGTATTAAGGGCGGTAAATAAGGAATTACGAAGATTCTATTAGAAGCCCGAATTCCAAGACAGGACTTTCGGAGTCGAGGTCCGTAATTCCCGTATCCCATAAGTGAGACAAAATGTTTTTCATCACATTTGCGAGGAAATAGTATGATTGCATGCAGGCTTACTTGACTGTAATGCCCCAAATAAAACCCTCGGTACCTACCTCTATCTTTTCATTACAGCCATAGCAAGCTAGTCTGCATGCACTCATACTATTTATGTGCAAGTGTGACGAAAAGAATTTTTATTTATTTTATAAATTCTCAATATGCAATAAAAATTATTACGGCTGTATATTTAACTTTGTGGAACATCGAAAATTATTGAAAATGGAACATACTTATACATATGTATGTATACTATATACCCACTACGCGCTCTTTTCCGTTCTTCTCCGTGCCGCATCCCTCAAGACTTTTAATAGCAGTCTCGGAATGCGCGCGGAATGCAAATCTCAAACCGCCCGCCGGATCTGTATAACGCTTTAGGAATATTACTCACACTTTTCGATTTTAAGCTAAGGAAATAAGGTCCAAGTTAAAGTTTCAAATTATATGTCACCATTTACGCCGGTACAGCGGTGTTCCCTCACGATTTTATAACTTTCCTGAAGTTTACCAACGAATTGTACCATTTGTGCCACGTTTCACAAATAATTCGTCTTTTGCTGTGTCGTGGGTTTCGTGGGCTCACGTAAAATCTTCAATTACACGATGTGTGAATTTTCAAGTGATAAAATCTTATAAATAAGGACATTTTACGTCAGGTTCACAGAAGAAACTGCAATTTTTTTATTTATATGTGACTAAAATAAAATTAATTTCATTTAAGTACATTTTATTGCCAACATTAATTATTGTCTGAACAGACTATTTGCTACAAATGTAGTAACGATGTATCTACATTGATATAATTACTAATTTCATTATATGGTACATTAAGTGCTGTCTATAAAAATATGAAATTTCCATCACAAATAACTATAAATTCAAAGTACAATTTCCTAAAAATATCACATATGTATTGTTAAGTACCCATGTCACATTTGTTTATCTTAAAACTCTTAAGTATTTTTTTAAATCATTAATAATTGTGTGATGCGTACAAACAAAAATCACATAATAGAATTAATAAATAGAAAATATCTAATAGTGTTTTTATTTACGTACCTACACCTATACTTTGGTGTTATTAAAATTGCAAGAAAATCACTTTAAAGACAGAAAAGATCCTAATCAAAGGATAAAATTATTTTCTTAGTAGAATATAAAAACAGGTACTTTTTAGTTTTAGTTCTACTAAGAAAATAATTTTATCATCTCCACACATTTCTTAACTAGTACCTAATACTTATAAAGAAATTGTAGCCATTTTAAAACTCGGCTCAAAATAAATAAATATTGTAACTTTTACAACTTCAGTATGCGCCTTTAATGTTATCGGTATAAATTAATTTTTATTTATTTCCATTTAATACAATTTTTGATACCACCGTTCAGACCTACTTCCGAATCTTGAAAAATGAAGACCACACGAAATGAGTTTTGTAAATCCTTCGCGCAAATAATTATTGTCAAAACAACCAGGATAAGATGTAAATCAATCACTAAGGTACAAGAAATTGCAAAAAAAAAAACAATTCTTTGTAAAAATAAGGGCCCTAAAATGATAATCAGTTGAGGTAGGGCTTTCAGTCTCGCTGCATTTCCGCGTCCCGGGAAAAAAACATCGACACTCACATCGAGGTACATTCTCGAAATTTACGGACTTTGGAGACTGTTTCAAAAACAGGTTTTCACACTTTTAGCAAAACATTATGCTGTAATGAAGTTCCTTATTAACTCTAATTATAAATTGAAAAATTTATAGTGGTATTCGATTTTATAGTGGGTATGTAAGAAACAATGGAGGTTATTGAGTGAACCTCATTTTGTTACTACCGTTCTTCAATCTTCACAGATTATACTGAGCTCCAATCTACACCTTGTCTTTGTAACCAGAATTAAAAACGACTGTTGATTTATTAGATTTTTAACATTGACTTACAAATAAATGGACGACGGGTCTAATACAAAAACCACGAAAAAAATGTCCCAAGTCAACCTATTCGAAATTTAAATTGTTATGTCATCGCAGTATCTCACTGTCCGTAGAACAAATGAAGACTAAAGCGGAGTGTCGCGCTCTGTATACGATTTTAGCGCCTTACAAGTGCGGACACTTTTTAGCGCGGACCCGACGTCCATATAATTGTAAGTCAATGATTTTTAAGGTTGCCTTCAAATTAGACACTTGTAGAAGCGCTGCAGTGGCGCCACTACTAATTTTCATACAATATTTAGAAGCGCAGTTGCAGCGCCACTGTCGTGACACGCGCGCGTCATTTTTGCATTCACAGTAAGTGAAATAAAAATTACAGATGCGCAGCTGCCGTGCTACAATTGCGCCACTGCAGCGCTTCTACAATCGTCTAATTTATAGGCGCCCTTATACTTTTTAATTAAGGGTCTCTTAATGTCAAAAGCCTCGATATTCTCGAGGCAGTAAACCTCATTCTCAAGTCAAATATTCCTGAAATAAAAGCTTTTCTTAGAGGACACTTTGCGTGTGATCATCAAATGTAAAACACTAAAAATGAGGCACCAAATTACTGTATATTAGTTATCGTAAACTTTGAATAAATAATGTATTTCATTTTCAATATCATTGACTTAAAAAATAATACTAGATGCAAAGCTAAGACAAAAGTATTGGTCCCTGTTGTAAATTTTGTTATGCATATTGTTGCATGCAATTTAAACAATTTAAAACATTTTAGCGCACATTTTACAACTCTTATTTATGTAGTCATACATTGTAAATTTAGCCAACAATAGAAGAGTAACGATTTTATAAATAACTCATTGTACTGAAGCTTAACATTATTGAACACCACCTAAAAGGAATGACTCCAAAATTATAGAATAATAATTATAAAACAGCAATTTATAAAATAATATTTAATACATTTTTCGATCCGTAAAAAGTTCGTGACGTACTAGAAGATTACTTTACAAAAAATAAATCTAAGATTTTTGTGGAACTTCGCCATTAATTTCGATCTGAAACAATAAAACCAAGAATGAGTTAGTTACACAAACGAAGTTCTTCGCCTATTCCAAGAAATTTCTTGGTAATTCGCTTATTGGGGTTTATATTGAGTAATTTTATGTAACAAGAAACAAATAACTTTATTGAAACTTTTAACATACCTCTGTATTATTCACCTTTCCTTCTGGTTTGGTTTCTATTAATGGGGTGGAAGCAACCTGGCCGCTTCTTAGCAGGTCTTTGGCGGCAATTTGCCGTCGAGTCTCGCCTCCTTTGTCGTGATACTCCTGTGGCAGGCACCTCCAAATCAGAGGTGTGAACAGCTCGAGGTCAGTCCTCAATGAAGCCTTCTTGTCAAATAACCAGCCAACAATTGCACCGACAGTAATAGTCGCTAATAAGCCGAGAGGCGCAATCCAATGGTACGATATGCGGAAAAGGGGAAAAACTGTTTCTGGATCCTGCAAAATCGCATTGCGTAATATAATAAAAATTGTGTCACTTGTAAGGTATCGTTTTTGATAATCGTATTTCGAAGGAGATTAACATTTTTCACTAGTGATAGTTGGTACCTTCCTATTCATGTATACTCAAACAATAATGATAGTTCAAAATTACTTACGACATTCATTTTAAGTAGTTTGAAAGTGAGATTATGAGGACAAGTCGCGCTGAAGTTCAGTGGAGGGACCCTGAGTCCTTCAGCAGCCGCGGCCTGCGTGCCCAAGGATATAGTTCCGGCGACGAGAGCTCCTGCGAACGCTCCTGAAATAGCGCCCTTGGGGCCCACCCACCAGCATACCATGCCCAAGGTAAAAATACCGCAAGATGTACTGGCAGCGATTGCTGATAGTGCCGTTGCTACGCCTACGAAAAGAGAGAATTATTAGATTTAACAGTCAAAACAAAAAGAAAAACAATCCCCTTTCGATTGATGTATATATAAAGCAGTATTTTACAATTAATATATGGTCACACTTGTAGGTAAAACTTATCTAAGATTGTTTTTTTAGCATTACATTATGTACGAGTACGTGAGGATATCGTTACATATTGGCTTTACGAACCAATGTCAATAATCATACCTTGAGTAGTTCATCAAATTAAGTTTCTTATAGTATTTTCTGTATATATCATACATAAAAATCATCTCACACGTAGATATACTACTATCTAGTGCATCGTTAAAACGGATCCCACACGCCGCCGCGCGGTTTCATGTTGTATGCATACGAACATTGCACCACATACGGGTACTTCACTGCTGCCTGTGAGCGGCGCAGGGAATTCAAATTAAAGAAACTATATATTTACACAATACAGGAGAATATATTATATACGCAGTATATTTTTCTATACAAAAAATAAACAATTTTTTCCTCTGAAATCATCGATTTTTTCAAGAAATTACGTAAGCGTAAAAGATGCTTGTAACGTCATTATTTATCATGCATTGTAAAAAAAATCAGCTGGATATTCCACAATCAGGTAGTTTGTGGTGGGACTGTAGTTCCGTCTGCCACCATTTTCGAACAGCGCGGCTGCGCATTGTATAGCAACCCTAAGTGCTGAGCGTGTGGAAGCCCATGAAGACAATTAAGCGGAGTATTTTCGATATGTCGTGATCGACTAGTCGCGAATGTATAATGGTCGTATGTGGATGATCTGTATTTGTATAGTAATGACGTTATTTTGCTAGTATTTGAGACAAATGAAATAAAACATCAATACACAGTAAGTACTCCTTTATACAAATAATTTTCTTCAAATAAACCGAACATTTTTATTCAAGATGAAAAATCATCGCAAGTGAAGAAACTCATCGCAAATATTGCTTACCAAGAACACCGCCAAGTTTCTCAATTACTATAAGCATAACGACAGAAACAACAGCCAACACAGCACTGATAAGCCTGGCAATAATGCCCTCGACCAATGGCTTCAATTGTAATCGCAGCCATCCACGCATTATGTCCTCAACACCAACTAACGCACATGCGTTCAGAACCGCTGACAGGGAACTGTAGGGTAAAAGTTTTATTTATATTTCACTTATTTATGGACAATATAATAATATGCAAAAATGTTCACCTAGCAATGAGCGGCTAACGTTCGAAAAAAAGCAAATACTCAAACGTTGTAGAAAGCCAGAAAACATACCTCAAACCTGCACCAAACACGCCAGCAAGAAATACACCACTCAATCCCGGTAAATGCTGAACTTTGGACACATATGTGACAAAGGCCGGAAGTAGCCTGTCATCCACAATTGGAACACCGTGTGGGTCACAGCCCCCTAGTGTCCACGCTGCCCACGCTGTCAGTCCGCACCACACGCAGAGACATATGGCAATTATTGCCCCAAAACAAAATATGGCTAAAGCCCTGAAAAGCAGAGCAATTATTAAGAACTTTTTTCATGATAATGAAATAACGGGACGAACAAATCGTGCACCTGGTGGTAAGCGAGACGCCTGTTTATAACAGTTGCAATGCAACTCAGAGCATCGTATCTTAAAGAACTTAGGGGAACTGCTACTACCCCCGTCACCTCGAGACATAAGTTGATAAATGTCATATGTCTGTAATTTCACCTGCCCACGTCAATGTGCCCACATTACTGCTTGGCGGCGGAAATAGGTACGGTGAACTCTGTCCAATAAACTTATACACAGACACACACAGATGAACACATTCATTTTACAAGAACCAAATCAAATAATACATCAATCTTAAAATAATACACTTAGTAACTTCTCTTTTCAATTTAAGTGTATATTGTTTTAGACGTCTATTTCTTTAAGAAGGTAGGTAGTATTTAGATACGGGAGATAGGAATTTTGTGAAAAAAGTAAAATTGGGCAAGTTAAAAAAAATATGTAATCATTCATGACTCCTTGATTTAAATTCTTAAATACATTGACAGTTTTATAGGCCGATCACCTGTTAGACGTACTTTAATCGAAATAATACTTACTGTACTGCTTTCTTGTATGTAGAGAGCGATATATACCGTTGTACCATAGTCTGATTGACGGAATTAAAACATGTCCAGTACAAGGTGCCTCCCACGATCGCCCCCCATCCCGTCTGTCGCTCGTAAGGAGAAAAACTCCAACTGCCACAAAATAATTTCAATTCAAAAATTCGCTTAAAATTTTAAATAGATCCCTAATTTAGAGTTTTACAAAAGTATATAACAACATCTGCAACTAACAATAAGTCACGAAACAAACTTTCCACAAGAAAGGCAAATTGCCATATGACACGAAACATACACGCTCAATTTACACACTATACTTTAAATTAGTATATGTATAGCGTAAATATACTATGATCCACATTCACCAGCTATATGAGCTATACATAGGGTGCACTATAAGTTACCGGAACTGACCACTTACATAAACAATATTTAAAAAGTAATTACAACATTTGATAATGGAACTCTTTGGCTGTAGAATATAGTTTGTTTCATCTGACTGTGCCTTGTTTTTACATTGTGGCATCATTTTAAAAATTGGTTGTCTACATCACCATGGATTTAACTCGTAAAAATTGGGAAATGAAACTATTTTTCCGGATTTAAATCGCGTGTATTTGTTTTTTCAAACAAACCGACGTTTCGGGCCCTTTACAGGTCCCATGGTCACGGTTGACTCAGGTGGTACAGTCTTCAACCAGTTATGTCTAATATTGATGCAAACCACCCTATTTTTTCACTATGGTTACAATAGTTATTAATTAAATACCTTATTTTTAATTTTACAAAGAAAACATTCCAATTTACGCTATATTAAGTTTTACAAATTATTTATATTCGTTATTTATATTTATATTCGTTATCGTAAATTGGGATGTTTTCTTTGTAAAATTATAAATAAGGTATTTAATTAATAACTAAAATAAATAAAAATAAATAACTATTGTAACCATAGTGAAAAAATAGGGTGGTTTGCATCAATATTAGACATAACTGGTTGAAGACTGTACCACCTGAGTCAACCGTGACCATGGGACCTGTAAAGAGCCCGAAACGTCGGTTTGTTTGAAAAAACAAATACACGCGATTTAAATCCGGAAAAACAGTTTCATTTCCTATGTGTAACAATCGCGAAAACCTAAGAACTCGTAAAAATTAATCGTGAACATTTTCATAGTATGATGTTCTACGACCTTAAGTGTAATTTAACAGCTCAGCGGAGCTTCGCTCGACTTCAAACTGCTTTTGACGATGAAGCACCATGCAAGACGATTATTTATAGCTGATTTGCAAAATTCAAACGCGGTCGTGTGAATCTCAGTGACGAATTTCGTGATGGTCGCCCGTCCCCTACTGTAAACAACAAAAACATCGATGCTGTGCGCCGTATGATCAAAACAGACAGGCATGTGACATACCATGAGATTCGGGCATCTTTCGGCATAGGCATGGGTCAAATACAATCATTTTACACAAACATTTTGGGGTGAAAAAGCTGTACTCTCGGTGGATCCCACACAATTTGACAGGAGGCTCAAAAAACGGATCGCGTCACTTGGTGCAATGCCATGCTTACCAGATTCAACGAAGGGGCGTCTATTTCGATGTGGGACATAGTAACAGGTGACAAAACATGGATTTATAGTTACGATCCCAAAACAAAGCAGCAATTGAGCGTATGGGTCTTTCGAGATGAGCCGATCCCAACCAAAGGGGCGCGCGTGCAAAATGCCTCTAAGCGGATGACTGCTTCTTTTTTTAATAAAACTGAACACGTGGCCACTGTTGCTTTGGAGAATTGTTGTAGGTACCCTGAATGGTGATTGTACACGACCATTTGCTGGCCGGAAGTTATTGACAAACTCCGGAAAAATAACCGTAAACGCCGTATCATCTTGCACTACGATAATACCAGTTCTCACATGGCCAGACAGACAAATGAATATTTGAAGGTGAACAACGTTGACCTTATGAGCCATTCCGCGTACAGGTCCGACCTGGCACCTTGTGACTTTTATTTATTTCCAAAAATTAAGAACCTGCAGTTACGCGGTCAACGATTTCCTTCACCTGAAGAGGCTGTCAAAGTGTATGAAAAATATGTTTCAGACGGAGGAGTGGCTTGAATGTTTTCAAAATTGATGCATTCGTATGAAAAAATGCATTAACGCTGACGGAGAATATTTTGAGAAACAATAAATTCATTTCTGACCATTTATACTACTTTTTTTCTTATTCATTCCGGAAACTTATAGTGCGCCCCACGTATCAATCAAATGCATTAATAAACAATTAAGGAACAATGTATAATTTCTTTCTTTCTTTCTTTCTTTCTATAAACCACAGAACATGCTCAAAACAAAAACGTTCTGTGTTCCAAACTCACTTAGACAGATCAAATCTCCCAGTTCTCTGAGCGATCTCATGTACGTTCGTAACGCCACCAACGGCCACCGTGCCGGCTACGGCTACAAGTAGCACTCCGATAAACATGATGCCTGTTTGTACTGAATCCGTCCAAACCACCGCTTTGAGACCACCCTGTAAAGACAATACAGAATGAGTTATATTACGTCGAAAGAAAAATCTAAATATCAGATACTTGATCTGAACAGGCAAAACATTTTTGACTCGGACACCCTTATTATTTGCGCTTGTAATTACCTGTATAACTGATGACATTAACGATCGCGTTGTTAGGAAAAGAAATTGTTACAAATACAGAACCAAATGTTACTATAAGTGTATGTATTTGTTTTTAAAAAACTCAAAAACTAATTATCAGTACAGTGAGCGTACTCCATACAAACCACACTTGATCTTATTTTGGATTTTGGTGTGTTATATTTATTCCGCTTAATTCAAGGGTAGCGGCTTAATGCTGTCGTGAATCTTCAGTCTGACTACAGCCCGTCACAAAAAAAAAAGAAATCAAACACACACACACACACACACACACACATACACTACAGCAGTTTCAAGCACTTGTTGGAACTCCTAACTGCTAAGCTAGGAGTTCCTACAAGTGCTTGAAACTGCTTTCATAATAATCATTTGTATATACAGGGTGTCTATTAAGTCGACATCAAGCCAGGATGGGGATGTCAAGAAGCCCATGGCCTACAAAAAAGCCCATGATACGATGGTAATATTCCCAAAGGTTTTTATAAATTAAAAATTTTATGCACATTACGATTTTGACGTTTTAACACCTTTGGACGCGACTGTACTCAAACAGAATTGTCTTTTTCTATCTTTCTTTTTCTTTTTATTATCTTAAATCAACCTTCTTTTTAATGAGCTAAGTATTAAGTAAATTTTTCACCAATAGTTATTTTAAAAATACCAAGGAGTATATAAAAGAAATATTTTTTTGTATTATTTGAACGGGTGTGTTAAAGATATTGAAACTGCATGACACCGCATCTGCACTTAATTGTAAAAACTTGCCTACTTATTCATCTAATTACTAAAAAAAAATACATACCTATCTACTTTAATTATGGTTTTATTCAAAATTTCATCAAACAGGTCGATATTACAGCAATAAACGGGATATTTGCTAAACTGTGAAAAACTTATTTTCTTGTGATTTTCATGTCTAAGATGGTTTGTACCACTCGTGGCGGTGGCTTCTAACTTGAAATCAAGGAACAAAACATATAAAAATAAAAGCTTGCAATTATTTGACATTTTTCAAAGTAATGTTCAAAATGGCAGCTACCGACCCTAATACACATCCTGCACCGCCTAATTATGGCATCATGGGCTGCAGCTAGGTCGAACTGGTTGCACATCCGACCTACAAGGTACGGCACGGTACGATGCCTCTCGCTTGCTCCCCAATCGCAGCAAGCCTAGCTGCAGTCCATGATGCGATTATTAGGCGGTGCAGGCTGTATATTAGGCCATTGCAACTGCCATTTTGAACATTTACTGTGAAAAATGTGAAATAATTGCGATTGTCATAAAAAATAAAAGTTTTCATTTTCAAATATTTATTTCTTAACTTGTAGTTAGAAACCACTGCCACGTGCGGTACAAAAGTAAAAACCCTCCTAAACACCGAAATCACAAAAAATTAAGTTTTTCACACTTCAGCAAAAGTCCCGTTTATTACTGTAATGTCGACCAGTTTGATGAAATTTTGAATAAAATCATAACTAAAGTAGATAGGTACGCATTTTTTTTGTAATTAGATGGTAGACAACTTATTACAATTAATTGCAGATGCGGTGTCACACATTTTCAATTTTTTAACACACCCCTTTAACTAATACAAAAAAATTTACTTATACGTACTTCTTGATATTTTTAAAATACCTTTTAATGAGAAATATAATTTAATACTTCGATCATGAAAAAGCAGGTTGATTTAAGATAATAAAAAGAAACGGAACAAGACAATTAATTATGTTTGAGTACAGTGCGTCCAAAGGTGTTAAAACGTAAAAATGTGCATAAAATCTTTAATTTTTTAAAAATCCGTTGGGGATATTACCATAGTACTGGGCTTTTTGTAGGCCATGACCTCCTTGACATCCCCGTCCCAGCTTGTCGCCGTATATGTAATATAAAAGAAAAATGAACACATAATGTAATTTTGTGATTTACTCATATTCTAATAGAAATCATAGTCTGAATAATCAACATAATCGGAACTACTACCTTCACTTTGTTCTACTCGCTATTATACTCGCGCTTCGTCCTTCGAGATAAACATGAGATTGGTACTTGTAGTAACGCATACGTGCGGCCACTTCCTACACTAAGTTGAGGGTAAAAACTTTAGAATAATAACGCATAGAATGATAGTTTCATATCAAACGAACTGTCACAAGTGAGGCAAAAATCAAATTCATGTAGGCGTAAGCAACTTGTATTTACGCTCGTCGGCACGCACACAAATATACAAATAATGATGCCATGGAATAACATTTCCCTCAAAAGTGGGGAAATTGTATCTTGCTTAACTCATCATTAAGTTAAAGCCTACAGATTTGCTCGATTTTGTCGATCGACAATCTCGATCAGGTGCCTACAGATATGCTCGATTTTATCGATCGTTACTGTTGATCGACAACATCAAGTGACAGGAATTTTCAAAAATTTATTTTTGGTAATCCTTATGGAAATGGCATTTATATCTGAATACACGAAGGCGGACACGACTTTTCTCATTTCTAAATCCAAGATGGCGGACACGCAAAATGGGAATCGTTTTCGAGGTATTCGAGGTGCTCATCAAGAATATGGCATTTATTTCTAAATCCTAGATGGCGGACACGACTTTTGAAATAAATGCAATATGGGTATCATTTTCGAGGTATTTGGGGGTGCTCATTAGGAATATAGCACTTATTTCTAAATTCAAGATGGCGGACATGACATTTCAAATAATAGCAAGTTGGGTATCGTTTTCGAGGTATTTGGGGGTGCTCATTAAGAATATGGCACTAATTTCTAAATCGAAGATGGCGGGCACGATTTTTCGAATAATAGCAAGTTGGTTGTCGTTTTCAAGGTATTTGGGGCTGCTCATTCCGAATTTAGCACATATTTCTAAATCCAAGATGGCGAAGAATTAGAAGAAGAAGAATTAGAAGTCTTGCCCGCTATCTTGTCTTCAGATATACATGCCATTTCCTTATGGTTTTACATGCGAGTTTAAGTGCGACTATCGAATTTGAATATATAATATAGCCTGATATTATCTGTGGGTATGTTTACATGAAAAGTACACGATAACAATAAAGAACCTGAACCTGAAAGTTATTTATACACGATTTTGGAGAACTGACGATGACTTTTTAGTCAGTGTTAGTTCCCTGAAATAATTTTAGTTACGAACTTTTGAGTTTGGCCAAGACAATTTTTTTAAATGAGTGTATGATGAACAAGAATAATGATTTTTCACATGCAACTAATGAAGGCAAATACTAAATATATTTCGTAGAAATAGCTAACGTAAATTCCCGACAATGTTGTTGCGGCGGTGTACATTTGTAGAAATTTTGCAAACGTCGCGATATTGCCTATTCTCAAAAATTACGTAATATAATTATTTTGAAACAGAATAACAAAATGGGGAGAAAAAACCCGTTACTTTGCAACATTTTCGTATCTTGTTGCAACGAAATTAATTTTCTGTTTTAGTGAATATTTACATAAAAATACAAGTTGAAACGCGTTACTTACTTGTGGAATGTGATGTTAGTGTCTATTTTATGTTTGTCTGATCTATTTTTAAACCCAATTACTGCACATTTCGTCATTTTTAGCAAAAATCTTTGAGCTGTTCGCGGTACAACTTGACCTTGAGCACTGACTGCCCGCTCGCTCATGTAGGCCTATACGGCGTCCTACAATTTGCCTCACTTAGCGTGTGCGGACTAGGTTTCTATGCGTTATTATTCTAAGGTAAAAACAAATAAAAATACAAAATGTATAAATTACAATGCACACTCTAGCTCTCGCTTGGTGATCTATTTGGTTACATTCGCTGTTCAGTGTTCGGCTAGTTCACACTGAATTAACTTTTTTGCCAATTTTAATTTAAACGATTTTTTTCTTCCAAAAAATGCCTAAATCATCTCGAGAGCCTCGTGGTGAAATTCGAATAGAAGGAAGGCACCTAACCTATACATAAAGTGTAAACGGAGTTTTTTCGAGCTCCTCACTGTTGGGTTTGCGATGTAACAACTACCGAGTTATACCTACCCGTTGTAACGGTGATGATTGACAGCCTCCTCGGTTGCTCTGGCTGGGTTTGCGGTATAACAACCCCCCGAGTTACACCTACCCGTTAAAGCCATTATCTACAGTCGAATCGAAAACTGCTGGGTTTGCGGTGTAAAAACCCCCCGAGTTACACCTACTCATTAAAGCAGTCATCTACGGCCCGATTGAATACCACTGAGTTTGCGTTGTAACAGGTACCCGTATTACACCCTTTTTAGTGGTGATCACAACAATTCTCAGTGTTTTGTTTGCAATGATTACGAAAATGTAAATTCATGTAACTTTTAAGATACAGTACTTTCTCTCTATCTGATTTGTATACTTCACGTTTACGTCGATTGTTAGCAACGTTCACCAAATCGAACGCGCCTTCCAGATGGAGGGCCTTGCGAAACCGCCTCGGAGCTAGCCTCTGCCCTTCTCGGCGCGGGCCCGAGTGAGGCGTCGCCGCCACACGAACAAGCACCGGAGTTCGATGAAAGTGTGCTTCAAATTCTGGGCGAGGAGCCTTCGTTAGCTATGCCGAAAGGCAAGGACATTCAAAAGGATATAGCGACTCGTTTCGAACATATCGCCACGAACGGCTCATCCAAGGAAAGTTTGAAAGAGCTTTTGGACCGGTATTTATTTCGTGGAAACTGTATTAAAATCGACGCCCCGGCTTTGAATCCCGAAGTCAAGCCCGCCGTTACGGAAATGGTTCTCAAACGACTCAAGGCGATGGAATCTAAACAGAAGCAGACCTCCTCCGCCATCTCCGTCTTGAGCGAGGCCATCACTTGTCTCCTCTCTCAGCGAAC